CTCCTCCCCCTCCTCTATCACCTCAACCCTCTCCTCCTCACCCTCCTCCATCACCTCAACCCTCTCCTCCTCCCCCTCCTCCATCACCTCCACCCTCTCCTCCTCCCCCTCCTCCATCACCTCAACCCTCTCCTCCTCCCCCTCCTCCATCACCTCCACCCTCTCCTCCTCCCCCTCCTCCATCACCTCCACCCTCTCCTCCTCCCCCTCCTCCATCACCTGAACCCTCTCCTCCCCCCCTCCTCCATCACCTCCACCCTCTCCCCCTCCTCCATCACCTCAACCCTCTCCTCCCCCCCTCCTCCATCACCTCAACCCTCTCCCCCTCCTCCATCACCTCAACCCTCTCCTCCCCCCCTCCTCCATCACCTCAACCCTCTCCTCCTCACCCTCCTCCATCACCTCCACCCTCTCCTCCCCCCCACCTCCATCACCTCAACCCTCTCCTCCTCACCCTCCTCCATCACCTCCACCCTCTCCTCCTCACCCTCCTCCATCACCTCCACCCTCTCCTCACCCTCCTCCATCACCTCAACCCTCTCCTCCTCCATCACCTCAACCCTCTCCTCCTCCCCCTCCTCCATCACCTCCACCCTCTCCTCCTCCCCCTCCTCCATCACCTCAACCCTCTCCTCCCCCCCTCCTCCATCACCTCAACCCTCTCCTCCTCCCCCTCCTCCATCACCTCAACCCTCTCCTCCTCACCCCCTCTTCTTCTCTACCCCCCCCCTTCCTCTCCCCCTCCTCCCCCCTACCTCCTCCATCCCCCACCTCTCCTCCACCCCCTTCTCCACCCCCTCCTCTTCCCCATCCCCTGGGAAGCGCCGCCCTTGAGCGAGCAGCGCTGACAAAGTCGCGGAGTGCGCAGGCCGCCGGCTGTGAGCTGGTCTGGGTGTGAGCTGGTCTGGGTGTGTCTGGGTGTGGGCTGGTCTGGGTGTGGGTGGTCTGGGTGTGGGTTGGTGTGGGTGTGGGCTGGTCTGGGTGTGGGTGGTCTGGGTGTGGGCTGGTCTGGGGGTGGGCTGGTCTGGGTGTGAGCTGGTCGGGGGGTGGGCTAGTCTGGGTGTGGGCTAGTCTGGGTGTGGGCTGGTCTGGGTGTGGGCTGGTCTGGGTGTGGGTTGGTCTGGGTGTGGGTTGGTCTGGGTGTGGGTTGGTCTGGGTGTGGGTTGGTCTGGGCGTGGGTTGGTCTGGGCGTGGGTTGGTCTGGGCGTGGGCTGGTCTGGGCGTGAGCTGGTCTGGGCGTGAGCTGGTCTGGGTGTGAGCTGGTCTGGGTGTAGGCTGGTCTGGGTGTGGGTTGGTCTGGGTGTGGGCTGGTCTGGGTGTGGGTTGGTCTGGGTGTGGGTGGTCTGGGTGTGGGCTGGTCTGGGGGTGGGCTGGTCTGGGTGTGAGCTGGTCTGGGGGTGGGCTAGTCTGGGTGTGGGCTGGTCTGGGTGTGGGCTGGTCTGGGTGTGGGCTGGTCTGGGTGTGGGCTAGTCTGCGTGTGTCTGGGTGTGGGCTGGTCTGGGTGTGGGCTGGTCTGGGTGTGGGCTGGTCTGGGTGTGGGTGGTCTGGGTGTGGGTTGGTCTGGGTGTGGGTTGGTCTGGGTGTGGGTTGGTCTGGGTGTGGGTTGGTCTGGGTGTGGGTTGGTCTGGGTGTGGGTTGGTCTGGGCGTGGGCTGGTCTGGGTGTGAGCTGGTCTGGGTGTGAGCTGGTCTGGGTGTAGGCTGGTCTGGGTGTGGGTTGGTCTGGGTGTGGGCTGGTCTGGGTGTGGGTTGGTCTGGGTGTGGGCTGGTCTGGGTGTGGGTTGGTCTGGGTGTGGGTTGGTCTAGGTGTGGGCTGGTCTGGGTGTGAGCTGGTCTGGGTGTGGGCTGGTCTGGGTGTGAGCTGGTCTGTGTGTGGGCTGGTCTGGGTGTGGGCTGGTCTGGGTGTGTCTGGGTGTGGGCTGGTCTGGGTGTGGGTTGGTCTGGGTGTGGGCTGGTCTGGGTGTGAGCTGGTCTGGGTGTGGGCTGGTCTGGGTGTGTCTGGGTGTGGGCTGGTCTGGGTGTGGGCTGGTCTGGGTGTGTCTGGGTGTGGGCTGGTCTGGGTGTGGGTTGGTCTGAGTGTGGGCTGGTCTGAGTGTGAGCTGGTCTGGGTGTGGGTGGTCTGGGTGTGGGCTAGTCTGGGTGTGAGCTGGTCTGGGTGTGGGCTGGTCTGGGTGTGGGCTAGTCTGGGTGTGAGCTGGTCTGGGTGTGGGTGGTCTGGGTGTGGGCTAGTCTGGTTGTGAGTTGGTCTGGGTGTGGGCTGGTCTGGGTGTGGGCTGGTCTGGGTGTGAGCTGGTCTGGGTGTGGGTTGGTCTGGGTGTGGGCTGGTCTGGGTGTGGGCTGGTCTGGGTGTGTCTGGGTGTGAGTTGGTCTGGGTGTGTCTGGGTGTGTCTGCGTGTGGGTTGGTCTGGGTGTGGGTTGGTCTGGGTGTGGGCTGGTCTGGGTGTGTCTGGGTGTGGGCTGGTCTGGGTGTGGGCTGGTCTGGGTGTGAGCTGGTCTGGGTGTGGGCTGGTCTGGGTGTGGGTTGGTCTGGGTGTGGGCTGGTCTGGGTGTGGGCTGGTCTGGGTGTGGGGTGGTCTGGGTGTGAGCTGGTCTGGGTGTGGGCTAGTCTGGGTGTGGGCTGGTCTGGGTGTGGGGTGGTCTGGGTGTGGGGTGGTCTGGGTGTGGGGTGGTCTGGGTGTGAGCTGGTCTGTGTGTGGGCTGGTCTGGGTGTGTGCTGGTCTGGGTGTGTCTGGGTGTGGGCTGGTCTGGGTGTGGGCTGGTCTGGGTGTGGGTTGGTCTGGGTGTGGGTTGGTCCGGGTGTGAGCTGGTCTGGGTGTGGGCTGGTCTGGGTGTGAGCTGGTCTGGGTGTGGGCTGGTCTGGGTGTGGGTTGGTCTGGGTGTGAGCTGGTCTGGGTGTGGGTTGGTCTGGGTGTGAGCTGGTCTGGGTGTGGGTTGGTCTGGGTGTGAGCTGGTCTGGGTGTGGGCTGGTCTGGGTGTGGGCTGGTCTGGGTGTGTGCTGGTCTGGGTGTGTCTGGGTGTGGGCTGGTCTGGGTGTGGGCTGGTCTGGGTGTGGGTTGGTCTGGGTGTGGGTTGGTCCGGGTGTGAGCTGGTCTGGGTGTGGGTTGGTCTGGGTGTGAGCTGGTCTGGGTGTGGGCTGGTCTGGGTGTGGGTTGGTCTGGGTGTGAGCTGGTCTGGGTGTGGGTTGGTCTGGGTGTGAGCTGGTCTGGGTGTGGGTTGGTCTGGGTGTGAGCTGGTCTGGGTGTGGGCTGGTCTGGGTGTGGGCTGGTCTGGGTGTGGGCTGGTCTGGGTGTGGCGGGGATGCGTTTCGTGTTGGGGCGGTGGCGACGCCGCAGCGAGACGGCTCGGCCAATGGCACGTCTCGAGCTACGCTTCTGCGTGATGCGGTCTAACAACAGCAACAACAACAACAACCACCACCAGCACCACCACTCTCCCCTTACTCCTCCTCATCCTTCTCTTAGCCACCGGTAAATTGATGATGCCTCGAAAGCGGCCTCCACGGTGATTTAGCCGTTCAGCGAGGATAGGAAATGCACGTGGTCCCAAATAAGGCTGGGCACTGGATAAGGGGTTGACACGGATGTAGTGAGTGTAGTGTATGGTAGTGTAATGTATAGTAGTGTAGCGTATAGTGTATAGTAGTATAGTGTATAGTAGTGTATAGTGTAGTGTATATTCTTGGTTCTTTCGGTAAAGTCGCGAAGAAGGGAAACAATAAAATAATAAAAATATAAAACAAAATTCTCACGACGTTCCGACTGCAACACAAGCAATCATCAGGCGTGAAAACCACAGCAAGAAAATTTTCTTGGTTTTCACACCTGATGATGATTGCTTGTGTTGCAGTCGAAACGTCGTGAAAATGTTGTTGTTTTATATTTTAATTATTTTATTGTTTCCCTTCTACGTGGTGACTTTACCGAACGAACCAAGAATATGAATCCCTGCAGTCACGAAAACTTTAAATCAGTGTAGTGTATGTTAGTGTAATTTATAGTAGTGTATAATTTAGTGTATAGTAGTGTATAGTGTAGTGTACAGTGTAGTGTATAGTGTAGTGTATAGTGTAGCGTATAGTAGTGTATAGTGTAGTGTATAGTGTAGTGTATTGTAGTTTATAGTGTAATGAGGCAGGGCACTAGTAAGGGGTTGACAGGGATGTGATTTGTTCCGATCGCGTCGAAAGTTACCCACTTTTTTCAAAAAAACGTACTGTCTAATATTTAAAGAATGGATAGTAATATATAAAGATACAAACGGCACCATCGTCATTGTCGTCGTCATCGTCACTGTCGTCGTCACCATCACCATCGTCGTCACCATCACCATCGTCGTCACCATCACCATCGTCGTCACCATCGTCACCATCACCATCGTCACCATCACCTTCGTCGTCACCATCGTCATCGTCATCATCGTCGCCGGTCTCCTTATCAAAGGCAGTGGCCGGTCTGGTCGTTGGTTTCCCGCACCTCCGATTCACTGGGTTGCCTTAACGTACGGTGCGAAGGAGGTTAAACGCACACAGCGCCGCACCACATTCACGTGGGGCGGAGGAAACGGGAGCACCCGGCGGAAACCCCACGCCCTGTGCGAGGTAGCAACACTCGATCCCCCGCCCGTGCAGATAGAAGAGACGGATGGCGAATTCGTCCGCCTTGCTCTCACGACTGTCTCGTCCTGGGGTACGACTCCCCCTCGACACCCACCCACCCACGGGTAGGAAGCTTCACAACCCATCCGTGCGTGATCCACCAACCCTCGCAGCGACTGCTGCTGCTGCTGCTGGTTCAGAGGCAGCCCACGTGCAGCAACAGCAGCAGCAGCGTAAACCACCACCGCCCTAACCACTGCGCCACCGCTCCCCGCCTGTATTCACGCTGCACGGCTCAGAGACGCTGGCGATAGACCACCACCACCACGACGACGATGATGATGGTGATGATGGTGACGAGGTGGTGGTGAAGAGGTGTGGATGAAGAGTAAAGAGGGGATAACGTACCTGCAGGGCGACGAGGAACACGGTGACACGGCGAGGCATCGTCACTGCTGCTGCTGCTTGTGCTCGGAGTTGCGAGCGAGTGTGGGTGGTGGCGATGTGCGGGGTTCGGGGGGAATCGCAAAGGGGCTGAGCCGAAATGAGAGACGCCACGCGTACACGTGCAGGGGGCTTGCGGCACGCGCTGGCAGTTACATCACTCACACACTCGTACACACACATCGCTTACACACTCATACACACTCACACACATCACTTACACACTCATACACACTCACACACATCACTTACACACACACTCATACACACTCATACTCATACACACATCACTTACACACACACATCACTTATACACACACTCGTACACACATCGCTTACACACACACATCACTCACACACTCGTACACACATCGCTAACACACTCATACACACTCACACACATCACTTACACACACACTCATACACACACACATCACTTACACACACACTCATACACACTCACACACATCACTCACACACACATACACACTCACACACATCACTCACACACTCGTACACACATCGCTTACACACTCATACACACTCACACACATCACTCACACACACATACACACTCACACACTCGTACACACATCGCTTACACACTCATACACACTCACACACATCACTCACACACTCATACACACTCACACACATCACTCACACACTCGTACACACATCGCTTACACACTCATACACACTCACACACATCACTTACACACACACTCGTACACACATCGCTTACACACTCATACACACTCACACACATCACTCACACACACACTCATACACACACATCGCTTACACACTCATACACACTCACACACATCACTCACACACTCGTACACACATCGCTTACACACTCATACACACTCACACACATCACTCACACACTCGTACACACATCGCTTACACACTCATACACACTCACACACATCACTTACACACTCGTACACACATCGCTTACACACTCACACACACATCACTTACACACACACTCATACACACACATCACTCACACACTCGTACACACATCGCTTACACACTCATACACACTCACACACATCACTTACACACACACTCATACACACACATCACTCACACACTCGTACACACATCGCTTACACACTCATACACACTCACACACATCACTTACACACACACTCATACACACACACATCACTCACACACTCGTACACACATCGCTTACACACTCATACACACTCACACACATCACTCACACACTCGTACACACATCGCTTACACACTCATACACACTCACACACATCACTTACACACACACTCATACACACATCACTTACACACTCATACATACACACACATCACTTACACACACACTCATACACACATCACTTACACACTCATACACACTCACACACATCACTTACACACACACTCATACACACTCATACTCATACACACATAACTTACACACACACCACTTATACACACACTCATACACACGCACATCACTTACACACTCATACTCATACACACTCACACACATCACTTACACACACACTCATACACACACACATCGCTTACACACTCATACACACTCACACACATCACTTACACACACACTCATACACACACACACATCACTCACGCACTCGTACACACATCGCTTACACACTCATACACACTCACACACATCACTCACACACTCGTACACACATCGCTTACACACTCATACACACTCACACACATCACTTACACACACACACCCATACACACACATCACTTACACACTCATACACACTCACACACATCACTTACACACACACTCATACACACACACATCACTCACACACTCGTACACACATCGCTTACACACTCATACACACTCACACACATCACTTACACACACACTCATACACACATCACTTACACACTCATACATACACACACATCACTTACACACACACTCATACACACATAACTTACACACTCATACACACTCACACACATCACTTACACACACACTCATACACACTCATACTCATACACACATCACTTACACACACACCACTTATACACACACTCATACACACACATCACTTACACACACACTCATACACACACACATCACTTACACACACACTCATACACACTCACACTTATCACTTACACACATCACTTACACGCACACTCAAACTCATACACACATCACTTACACACGCACACATACACACACATCACTTACACACTCATACACACTCACACACATCACTTACACACACATACTCATACATACATACACACATCACTTACACACTTATACACACATCACTTACACACTCATACATACACACACACATCACTCACACACATCACAATCACTCATCTCATACACACACATCACTCACACACTCACTCACTCATACACACATCACTTACATACTCATACACACACATCACTCACACACTCACTCACTCATACACACATCACTTACACACTCATACACACACATCACTTACACACTCATACATACATACACACACATCACTTACACACACACTCATACACACTTACACACATCACTTACACACACACTCATACACACTCACACACATCACTTACACACATCACTTACACACTCATACACACACACATCATTCATACACTCACTCACTCATACACACATCACTCACACACTCATCAACAACCGCCATTCGCTACTAAGTGGCGGTGACGTCACCACGACGACGCTTGTGCCAGGCCATGTGCACCTTGAGGCCACGTGAAGTGTCGAACGCCCGCTGACAGGAGGTCACGGGGCAGGCCCAGGTGCCACGGGTCGACTGACTAAGATGACTGAGATGACTGGCTGATGCACCACCTGTACCCCCTACTGTGCCAACACTCATTCACACATCTCATACACACTCACTCATACATACACACATCACTTCCACACTCATACACAACACAAAGATCCCCCGTGTAGCCTTAACAGACTGTTGGGGCAAGTGCTGTAAGCGAGTCGCACCTATAAAGGCCGGCACGACACGCGAGAGGATCGGTGGCAACACCACGCCCGGCCGCCTTTGTCTCCCCAGTGGCGATGTTTACTACACACCGCACCAAGTACTCATTTCAGGCTGAGTCGACCTAGGGGACGCCCAGGACCGGTTCAGATAATCGTCACTGGTGTTGGCCGTTAGCGGGAATCGAACTCGGATCGCCGGGTTCGTAGCGCAGCGTAGCACTAACCGCTGCACCACCGCTCTCCACGGGGGTGACGAGGTGGGGGTGACGAGGTTGGGGTGGCGAGGTGGGGGTGACGAGGTGGGGGTGACGAGGTGGGGGTGGCGTGGTGGGGGTGACGAGGTGGGGGTGACGAGGTGGGGATGCAGAGGTGGGGGTGACGAGGTGGGGGTGACGAGGTGGGGGTGACGAGGTGGGGGTGACGAGGTGGGGTGGCATGGAGGGGATGACGAGGTGGGGATGACGAGGTGGGGGTGACGTTGTGGGGGTGACGAGGTGGGGGTGACGAGGTGGGGGTGGCGTGGATGACGAGGTGGGGGTGACGAGGTGGGGGTGGCGTGGTGGGGGTGACGAGGTGGGGGTGACGTTGTGGGGGTGGCGAGGTGGGGGTGACGTTGTGGGGGTGACGTTGTGGGGGTGGCGAGGTGGGGGTGACGAGGTGGGGGTGGCGTGGATGACGAGGTGGGGGTGACGAGGTGGGGGTGGCGTGGTGGGGGTGACGTTGTGGGGGTGGCGAGGTGGGGGTGACGAGGTGGGGGTCACGAGGTGAGGGTCACGAGGTGAGGTGACGAGGTGGGGGTCACGAGGTGGGGGTGACGAGAGGCGCCCGCTCCGCTCCGCAGCTTTCGTTCCACTCTCCCCGTCCTAGAATTGGCCGGTGAGCCGAAACGTCGGTGCCGTGGCTCCGTCGTGTCGTGCCGCTCACATCGTGTCTCTGATGCGGCATCCCCCCACCCGACCCCCCACGTGTTCACAATGAGAATCTTTCACACCGAGTCGGACTCGGTGATCGAAACGTCGTGGTTTACATAAATAAATAAACTACGATGCTTCGATCACGGCACAAGTGATCGAAACGTCGTGGTTTTTATTACTTTTTTTATTTTATTTACTTTTCTTTTGTCTATCGACGTTAAATTTAGCGAAAGAACCAAACAATATGAATCCCTGCAGCCACGAAAGTGTTTTAAGTCGAAATGTACCGAGTGGCACTCTCGCGAGCGACATCGCCCGGCAGCAGCAGGCGGCCAGGGAGCGGACCCCCAGGCCGGGTGGTGGAGGGCGCCACGCCCTGGGAGTGAGCAGCCTGCAACCGCCACCACCACCACCACACAACCACCACCACCACCACACACAACCACCAGCACCAGCACCACACAACCACCACCATCACACAACCACCAGCACACACAACCACCATCACACAACCACCAGCAGCACCACCACACCACCATCACACAACCACCACCACCACCACACACAATCACCACCACCACCACACAACCACCAGCACCACACAACCACCACCACCACCATCACACAACCACCACCACACACAACCACCACCATCACACAACCACCATCACACAAGCACCACCACACAACCACCACCACCACCACACACAACCACCAGCACCAGCACCACACAACCACCACCATCACACAACCGCCAGCACACACAACCACCACCACCACCACCATCACACAACCACCACCACCACCACACACAACCACCAGCACCACACAACCACCACCATCACACAACCACCATCACACAAGCACCACCACACAACCACCACCACCACCACACACAACCACCAGCACCAGCACCACACAACCACCACCATCACACAACCACCAGCACACACAACCACCATCACACAACCACCAGCAGCACCACCACACCACCATCACACAACCACCACCACACAACCACCACCACACACAACCACCATCACACAACCACCACCATCACACAACCACCATCACA